CATGATGTCACCAGCTGTCCTATTTTTGTTTCCCAGAATGCCTCAGACTCAGTTGTCATCATGGAGATGTTGGAGTTTCTGGTCTCAGATGAACTCAAGTGTTTCCAGTGGTTGGTCAACAAATACATGACTGCAGAAAGTCACTCTCCCATTGGTGGAGAGCAGTTGGAACATGCAGACAGACGGACGACGTGGAGACTTCTAGAAAAACTCTTTGGATCCAATCGGGCAGAACGTGTCGCCATGGAGATCCTGATGAAGATCGTGCCAACGCTGTGTATGTATGCAAAGTCTGTGCTAAGCTACACTTGACTCGATATTTATCAGGAAGGATGTAATCATGTGATGTGATGATGTCATCTTTCTGCAGGTCTCTTTTTTCAAGCAGAAGCAGTGACATCACTGACCTACTCTGACATCAGGTTGGAGACAAATACACCACAGGTAAGTTGTGTCACTGTGATGTCACTGATGTGCTAATTGTTGATTTTTTTTTTTTGATCAGTCCAGTTTTTTAATCATTTTTTTATCTGTTGGTCTGTGCAGGTTGAGATTACACCTGAGGTCAGCGAGGATGGGAGCATATTCAGGTAACACAGGGTTGTTGGCTGATTGGTTTAATGGAGGGTTAGGGCAGATCTGGTGCCATGCTGCTGTTCACCCCGCTCTTGATGTTGTGACCTCGAGTTATGTTTGTGGTGTTTGATGTGTTTTTATTTGTAAGTTTATTTGTAAGACCCAACACATACTGACGTTATCATCAAATCATACAAGTTCATCAATACCACCTCACCCTACAGTGGAAGTATTCACAGTGCATCACTTTTTCCAACTGTCATGTTGTCTTGTCATGTTACAGCCTTATTCTAAAATGGATTAAATTCATTTTTTCACCTCAAAATATTTCTCAGCAGCAGAAACGGGGAAACTAGTGATGGTCAAGGGAAAGATTAATGCAGCAATGTACAGAGACATCTTTGATGATAACCTGCTCCAGAGGGCTCTGGACCTTGGACTGGGGTGACGGTTCCAACAGGACAGTGACTCTAAGCACACAGCCCAGATAACAAAGGAGTGGCTTGGGACCACTCTGAAGTGACCCAGCAAGAGCCAAGACCTGAACCTGACTGAACATCTCTGGAGAGATCTGAAAATAGCCGAGTACCAACGGTCCCCATCAAACCTGTTGGAGCTTTTCACTTTGTCATTTTGAGGTATTCACCAAGAGGTTGATTCTGTTCATCTGGACATAGTGTTTTCAGTGGGAGAAATGTTTCATCACTTCTTTTTCTTCTTCTTCAAACTGAAAAAGTCACTTGGATGACTTTATTCTGTAAGGTAAACCCCCTACAATAACACAGAGAAACCCCAACAACTATATCATCTCTTATGAGCAAGCACTTGGCGACAGTGGGAAGGAAAAACTCCCTTTTAACAGGAAGAAACCTCCTGCAGAACCAGGTTCAGGGAGGGGCCATCTGCTGCGACCGATTGGGGGTGAGGGGAGGAATACAGTACAAAACACACAGTGTGGAAGAGAGCCAGTCTTGTTGATGATCTCAATGAGTCTAGTCTCTGTCTAGTCTTCTAGTTTGCATCACATCCCTATAGGAGCATTCAGTTGAGCGATTTTATACTATGGTTTGTTCTTT